CGTCCAGAGCGTGGTAAAAAAAGAGTCCCACTGTGAGTATGCCTTCAGGATTGAAGGGTAGCACCTGATGAGGAGAGGGCTCGTTTGTTGTTATTTAGAAAAAGGGCAACAGCCTTGAGATATCATCATAGAACTGACCTTAATTCAGAACATTTTTTGACTTTTTTTTTAAAGCATACCCTACAGGTGCTAGAGGTGTTGACAAGACCTCTAGCACCCCAATAGAGACTCCATCTATTGGTGGGGAGCATCACCTGCTGGAAAGCGCGTCCAGCACATACCACAAAGTCGGAGTTTGTAAAGTAACAGTGAGGCCTGCCAGCATTGGCCCAGGGGATTGACTGAGCAGGCGTGCTGAAGGAATGCCATGTGGCTGGTGGAGTTCGAACTCAGGTTTCTATTCTATTTAAACAGCCCGGGAAAAAAAAAAAAAAAAAAAAAAAAAAAAACAGCCCGGGGGTGTACCAACTGAGCTGGGCCAGTTGGTAAGTGCACGTTTGTCGTCATAGGGTCTGACCGCACGGCACACGAAACGAAAACGAAACGAGTGCATCTGCCCACGAAAGGTGGCAAATTACACCCGTTACTATTTATAGCAAACCGACGAACCTGGCCATTTTCTGCAGGAGGATGCACTCGTTTCGTTTTTCGTTTCGTGTCCCGTGCGGCCGTGCGGCGACGCCCATAACAATGTAGTAGCAGTGGGTTTAGCAGGGGGCTTCACGTGGCTCGGCGGCTTCGGGTAGCGCAGCCATGCGGGCTGGACACACGAGAAACGTGAAAAATGGCGAGCGCATCTTCAGCCACATGGTGGAAAAATGCATCTGATAGTACAAAAGGTAGCAGATATATCTTGCCACCAGCTTTGTGCATATGCGTTTCCTGTGGAGTGTGGCGAGGACTTTCCTGAGAGCATCTGACTGAATGCATTCACATTCAAATTCAGTCGGAATTTTTCTTTTTTCTTTGTTATTTTTCTTTTTTTTTTCAGTCGGAAAAATTAAATGCCCCTTTCTGCTCCTTGGAGCTGCGTGAGGGTTGCATACGTGGAGAAGCGAGACAGACAGAACCCCGCCCGAAAATAGAATAGAAAGGGCCTCGCTCCACTACTCTCGAAATGTGCAAAATGAGAGTGAATGTTCCGCTAGAACATGGAAATATACAAAGCCACAGCCATTATTTTTGTCTTTGTGCATGTCGAGAATAGTGGAGCGAGGCCCACTGAAAGAAAGAAGGGGAAAAACCGCAATACCCCACTTAAACAAGGGAATATACCGGCTATACCCAGTTCCAGTGCCAACTTGCGTCTATACCCAGAAAACCGCTGGTGGAAATTATTATTTGCATGGGCACGACCGATGTGGGCCCAGGTTGGTACCGCAAAATTGCGGTTATACCCATCTACCGGAATGCACAAATTATGGATGGACATACCTAGGCAAAATTATGGGCATACCCGGGACCTGAGGAGGAGAGGCCAAATTGTTCATATACCCTGCTACCCGGATGGCTGAAATTATGCTCATACCCCGTCAGCCGTTGGGCCACAACGGTCAGGGCCTGCGGGATTGGGTACACCTACAATTTCGCAAAGGGAAAAAGCTGGGTACTATGCCAAGTTGAAACCCCTCTGGGTATAGATGCAAGTTCGTGGTGGGACTGGGTATAGCGGGTATACCCAACTTTAAGAGGTGTACAGATGCAATTTTTCCCAAGAAGGAAAAAGAAGCGCGCCCGACCCAGCTACCTCGGCAGTAAACGCGCGCAGAGGAACTCGTGGCACAAAAAAAAGACATTGAAACTAAATTTTAATTTAAAACTGATTTAATGTGCTTGCTGCTGTCGATAGTCATTCGCGGTAGCGCTCTTCCACAGTTACGTCATAATTACCTAGCTGCACTACTCTCGAAATGTGCAAAACGAGAGTGAATCTTCCGCTAGAATATGGAAAGATGCACCGCCATGAGTTTTGTCTTTTGTGCATGTCGGGAGCAGTGCAGCGAGGCCCATGGCCTCGATTCCCTATTCTCTACATGCGCAAAAGACAAAAAATATGGCGGTGCGTCTTTCCATTTTGTACGGAAGATTCGTTCTCATTATGCTCATTTGCTGAGTACTGGCGCGAGGCCCTCAATTAATTGGTTGCTTGTTTCCAGTTATCGTAAGTTTGGCGGGTTAAAAAAAATAAAAAAATAAAAAGCTTTTGGCTGGTTTGGCGGGTGTTCACGAATTGGAAAAGGAGGTGCCTTGAAAAACCAGTAATGAATTTGCGCGGGGAAGGGCGAGAAGTGCGCATTCTTGCCGCGTGGACTTTTCCCGCGCAGCTCGGCGCCATCGCAACGCCATACTGAACGCGGGAGGCTTGAAACTTGACACGTCATCTACGAGTCAATTTTCGCCGCTGATGTCGGCAACGAGCATCGGTCGGTAGCCGTACGATTCAGGCCGCAGGGAATGAACAGATGTCTTTCTCACAGTCGGGAGGGTCACACTGTCGCAAGACGTCTTTGTCACACAGTTGGGAGGGTGTCACTGTTGAAAGACGTGGCTGTCAATTTAGTCTTTATTTTTATTTTTCCCTCCCCTCCTACATCACAACATCACAATAAAGGTGTGCACTTCCCGACGTTTTTCTCTGTGTTTTGTTTGTGTGTGTATCTGTGTGTGTGTGTGTGTGTGTGTGTGAGAGAGAGAGAGAGAGAGAGAGAGAGAGAGAGAAGGGGGGGGAGAGGGGGAAGGGGCAAGCGGGGAGTGGCGATCGTATGCACACTGGCTCGAGGGGTAATTACATCATACAGATGTGTCGGGATGTAGTGGGCATTTATTTGCGTCGTTGTGCAATCTAGGCTTGTGCTCGACCGTACTACGTCGAGGAGTTTCTTCGGGGAGTGGGGGGTAGAGTCGAGGGGCTCCACCGCCAGATTGGATATTTTTCCCTTTCGGGAAAAAAAATGACTTGTCCTCACTTCGCCGCTATCCGCTGCAAATTAGGGGGTCCTCAACTTGGGTATGCCGCTGCACTGTCTCCATTTCCAAGTCTGGGGTTCGAGTCCGCTTACCTCCCGTGGGTAACTGTTTTGCAGGTTCGTTGAACCTGGCTGCTACCTACTGCACTAAGGCCATCCTAATCCGCTACTGCCCCTGAGATGACGGCGTAGGGGGTGGAAAATTTCGCTAAGAGCAATCAAATCCGTGGGCAGTGGAGCGTTAAATATTACTTTATTAAAAATTATTACGAATTATTACACTTTCTTAAGAATTCGCCGCCGCATGTGAGGGAAGAATCTAGCTTCGTTGTATATCATAAAAAAAAAAAAGCGGCGGGGGGGGGAGTCTCCGAAGTACTTCGGTGGAGCACAAGCCACGCCTGACTGTCCGATCGGCGGACGCGGATGATTTCTGAGGAGCAGTTAATTGCGGGGTTAGCAGGCACCGGTGGACAGAGAGGAGAGGCGGAGAGCGAAGAGAGGAAGGGGAGGGTGGCAGGAATTTCAGTACTAAGTTACAGGCGCGGGGAGCATATGGAAATCGTCTGCTCTCTGGGCGATTCTTTTTCTCTATACAAAGAGGAGGAAGGAAGAACTGGTAGCACAGATTGAACGTATTTCTCCTCCTTCTGTCTTCAGATTCGATCCGACAATCTTCTGGTACGCTGAGCAGCAGCAGCCTGTGCAATTAGGAGAAGAGGAGGGGTGAAAGAAGATTGATTGATTTGGCGACCGCTGAAGCTGAGGTTTTGGCGACATAGCGCACCGATCTCGATACCCGGGACCTTGAAAGATGTGCAAGATTCCTTTTTTTTTTTTTTTTTTTTTCTAAATGATTGCACTCATCCCCCCCGCCGCCTGCAAGGTCAGTTGTTGTCATCAACGAGGTGCCCTGGGTCATGTCACTCTGACTGTCACCAGCCTGGTCAGTGTCAGATTAGTCTCTGTATCTATCCGGTTAAGTCGGACCAGGTTAATTCGGACCTCTGCACACAAGTCTATCTATATCTTTAAGTAGGTGACCACCATATCTATCAGCCGGCAATCCTCTCAATCAGCTTTGAAAATTCGAAAGGAAAGCACCTTTCAATCATATCCCCCTTTCATAATTCTTTCCTGTGAGTTATTGAGTTCTCGATTAGTTTCTGTTTAAGTTGTTTATTAATATTAATGGCCTTATTAGTATAAACTAATATCCAACGGGGGGGGGG